GTTACAGGCCTCAAGTTCGGCCTTCCTGAATTCAGAGTGAAGTACACAAACCCATACTTCACCTATTGTTGAGGTAAATCACATGACGGGATGTCTTGTGTGCTTTCTAAAATCCATTTCTTATGATAAGGGTCACGCGCGGTATGCTTCGGTCCCTTCTTATGTGGCTCAGACCCCGGTCTTCCCTTGGGTCCCACTTTAAGAGGCGTCCTGTCACTTAAGTAGGCTACAGGGACGCCCTTCTCTGGCTAAAGGCCAATTTATACTTCTGCGTCGAGGGTACGCCGTAGTGTACGGCGTTGGCTACGCACGTAGGCGACGCCGTTGTGAGCATTTATACTTCTGCGTTCAGGTCTTGGTTGCTCTGCAGTACTGCTCCGAAACGCTAGTTGGCGGCGGAGGGTTTTAATGTTCCACTGTGTTTAGATTCCTCACGGCTAGGTTACTACAAGCAATAGCGACTGAAAGAGAGTGGATCATGTTGGAGTTGGAGCTTATTGAGGTGGGAAAACAGTTCACTTTAGTGAAATTACTAAAACTGAAAGGCAGAAATGAGAGAAGACATTGGAGGAGATGGTACGTGTGAAAATCATAGACAGTGGTGGAAATGCGTGAGAAGGTACGTGCGGAAATGCGTAGGAGGAAATGCGATGCTACCAAGCCGACCAATCACCGATCTTGCGGTCCGCGTCGTCGCGACGTGTAGTTAGATTTTTGAGGCGGTGCGCGTCAGGCGACGGCGAAGGGTACACGGTATGGGACGCATCTGTGCGTATGCTACGCCGTACCTACTGCGCGCACCCTACGCAGAAGTATAAATTGGCCTTAACTTCTGGAAGAAGTAGCTTCCACTTGGTGGAGTAAGCTCCAACAGGTTGTGGTCACCAGGCTGGGTCTCACTGACCTTCCTGATTACGAGCTCTCACCCGATGTGGTCGCCAGGTTACAGGCCTTACCAAGCCTTCCTGGTCATGAGCTCCCACACACTGTGGTCGCCAGGTTACAGGCCTCAACAGGCCTTCCTGGTTATGAGCTCCCACATATTGTGGTTGCTGGGTTACAGGCCTCACCAGGCCTTCCTGAATTCAGAGTGAATTACACAAACCCATACTTCACCTATTATTGTGGTAAGTCACACGACAATATGTCTTGTGCACCTTTTAAAATCCATTTCTTATGGTTAGGGTCACGCACGGTATGCTTCGGTCCCTTCTTATGTGGCTCAGACCCCGGTCTTTCCTCGGGTCCCACTTTAAGAGTTCTTAAGAGCTAACTTCTGGAAGTAGCTCCCACTTGGTGTGGTGTTTTCATGTACAGGCCTTATCAGGTCTTCCTGAAAGTAAGCTCCCACAGGTTGTGGTCACCAGGTTAGGTCTTTCTGACCTTCCTGAGTACGAACTCCCACCCGATGTGGTCGCTAGGTCATAGGCCTTACCAGGCCTCCCTGGGTATGAGCTCCCACATTTTGTGGTCGCCAGGTTTTAGGCCTCACTAGGCCTTCATGGTTATGAGCTCCCACATACTGTGATCGCCAGGTTACAAACTCCCACATACTGTGGTCGCCAGGTTACAGGCCTCAACAGGCCTTCCTGAATTCAGAGTGAAGTACACAAACCCATACTTCACCTATTATTGTGGTAAGTAACCCGACGAGATGTCTTGTGCACTTTTTAAAATCCATTTCTTATGGTGAGGGTCACGCGCGGTTTGCTTCGGTCCCTTCTTATGTGGTTCAGACTCCGGTTCTTCACTTTGAGTCCCTCTCTAGATGTGTCTTTGTCGCAATACATTACGACAGGCACTTCCCTTGTTCAAGCTATCGCCCACAACTGGTGGTTTTAGGTCTCATTAGACCTTTTTCGAGGTAGCCGCACATTGTGGGTCTGTCAGGTTTCTAGCCTCTGGCTTTCCTGAAGGATGAGCTTCCACATGCTGTGGTTGTTGGGTTTCAGGCCGCGCAATGTACGGCCTTCCTGACATGAGCCCTCATGTTTCGAGCTCCCCACACAGGGGGTCATCAGGTCTTAGGTCTCTTTTTGACCTTCCTGATTTTGATCCCTCTCTTACTTCCTCAGTGCTCAAAAGCGAGCACTGGGTGGAAACTCGTAGATTGAGTGTACGATTCCCATTGTTTTGAGGTTGAGTCACACTCTCCGGAGGATCCCATCTCTGTGATCCGAAACTCGATGGTTTCTGCCAGCTTCGTGGGCCTTCAGTTTTTGGATGCCTTTCGTAGGCAATTTCCAGAGGCTCTGTCTTGGACAGACAGGCTATGGCCAGACTGTGTGTCTTAGTACAGATCACCAGGCCTGGGGGCATTTCAGGAGGAGTGTTCTCCTGAATAGTGACTGGCTGGGGGTCCCTTTGGCCCCCTAGCCACACTCCCTAGAAGGGACCCCTTCTATTTTGAAGTTGTGGTCCTAAAGCCTTTGAGCTGGCCCAGATTTACCCACGTTATTACGTTCTGGGTTTTCTTGGTTCATTAGCTTGGGCTATGACCGGTAGGGAGTGCTGTCACTGGACAGCCCGATGTAACATAGGGTGAGTGGTTTCAGTGTTCCTTAGAATTACTGGTTCTGACAGTTGTCACTGCCTTTCGGCATGCACTCCCCTCAGCATGGCGGAGTGGGTATTTCGTTCCCCATTACGTCATTCGACGTATTGTTGAGTTCCCTTCGAAAGGGAACGTCTCAGGTTACGACTGTAACCTATGTTCCCTGAGAACAGGGAACGAGACAATACGTCTCGTTGCCATGTCTCGGGGCCTGCCTGCAACAGTCCCTTTAGACGATAGGATGTTGTCAAGGTTTCAAGGCGCCCTTCTTATACATCCAGATTGACGCACTCATCATTCAAGCTGATGATGCACGGGCTGTCGCCGGTCAACCTGATTACTGTGAGTTGATATTTGATTTCAGACACCTGTCACGCCTGAGGCGTTCCCCATTGCGTCATTCGACGTATTGTTGAGTTCCCTGTTCTCAGGGAACATAGGTTACAGTCGTAACCTGAGACGTTTTCACACAATAAAGTAAAAAAAAAACACTTTTCTAAAATACTTAAATTTTCTTTTTAATACCAAATACCCAGTATCAAACTCATGGATCTTTCTGGTCATTACAAAATAAAGCATGACATAAATAAAGACTTATGTTACAAACCTTAATTAGGTGTTCAAGCTGAAAACCTATTGTATTTGCTAGAAAGAAAAAAAAATACCCTAAAACGCATCGTGCAGCCCAAACCGTAAGGGCTGGAGCTGTGAAACTTTGTCAGATGGTAGGGCCTCGAATTGTGGAGAAGCTATCAGAGTATGACCCCGATTGGCCCATAGGTGGCGCTCCAGCAACCAAAAGTACTAAATTGCTCATAACTCCTAGACCGTTTGACTTAGCTTCAATGTTTTACACCACTGTAATCCCTGGCTCAAAACGGACACGATGTATATCTCGGATTTCCATTTGGAGCAAAAAAAAAAAATGTTATTTCGGTTTTTGTCCAAAACCCACTTTTGCGAACTAGTCCCTGGTTTTTTGCCCAATCGGGACCAAATCAGTCTAGGCCTATTCTCTGGACTCTCTAGATCAATAATTATCGAAAAAAAAGTTGAAATTTTGCATTTGGTTGGCTGTAACAGGCTCATTTAGATAGTGGTCTGTGGCAAAATTCAGTCAAAAGCCTCTAAATCCCCCCCAAAAAGTCACAACTTCACAAAAATCGATGAGCATATGTGTCCTAACATGGTTAGGAAGCATGCAAAGATCGGATCATAGGTGGCGCTATAATCGTCAAAAAGGTCTCTCATTATTAGGTGTTCAAGCACGAAGTGCTGAAAACCTATTGTATTTGCTAGAAAGAAAAAAAAAATCCCCTAAAACGCATCGTGCAGCCCAAACCGTAAGGGCTGGAGCTGTGAAACTTTGTCAGATGGTAGGGCCTCGAATTGTGGAGAAGCTATCAGAGTATGACCCCGATTGGCCCATAGGTGGTGCTACAGCAACCAAAAGTACTAAATTGCTCATAACTCCTAGACCGTTTGACTTATCTTCAATGTTACACCACTGTAATCCCTGGCTCAAGACGGACAAGATGTATATCTCAGATTTCCATTTTGAGCAAAAAAAATTGTTATTTCGGTTTTTGTCCAAAACCCACTTTTGCGAACTAGTCCCTGTTTTTTTTGCCCAATACTATTCTCTGGACTCTCTAGATAAATAATTATCGAAAAAAAGTAGAACTTTTGCTTTTGATTGGCTTTAACAGGGTCGTTTACAAAAGGGGTGGGACAAAATGCACCCAAAATCATATAAATCCTAAAGGAAAACTCAAAATTTTCACAAAAATTGATGAGCATATGTCTCATAACATGCTGAAGAAGCATGCACAGTTTCATGGAGATCGGACCATAGGTGGCACTATAACTGTTAAAAAGCTTTAAAACCATGCATTTCCAATGTTAAATTGCCTGTATTGATTGTAAATGGTGTTTTACATCTATTATGTCCGTGCAATGCATGTTAAATAAAATTGAATGGCTTTCGATGCTTTTGTGCTTAAAGGCCTGAACTGCTTGAACACTGATAAATGCTGCTTGCAGCTTTAATTATATTTTAAAACCTCTTCTACGTCAGCTCAAAAGTACTGAAAAAATACATTAACAATATTGAAACAACTGATAAGCATTTTTAGTTAAGAGACAACTGAAATATTGAGAAATAGCAGATTCCAATCTCAGCTGGAGGCATAGTCAGGTGTTGAAGTTCTTTCATCTCTGAATTGGTTTTGTTCAGTGGATGAGAAGAGGAGAGATAAAGAAAAGAGGCAGAGACAAATATTTGATGGAGGGAGAGGAGTTGTTGGATAGGACAAGGGAGAAGAGGAGGGGAGAAAGAATGTGTGCTGGACGTGCATCTTTATTTTTTCCCCTTACACGTCACAATTCTGACTATTTTCTCTTAGTTTTTCATCACAATTCTAATTCTAATGAGAAAAAGTAACAATTACATTTTACACTTTTTTTATTCTGTTGGGGGGGGGGGGGTTCCATCGAAACCAACTGACAGCAATTTCATGTTTTCATTTCAGTAAACCACAGACCACACACCAAAGAGATTTCAACTGAAGTAGGGACCTATTACTTTTTTCTTTTTTTTTTACACTTTATAACTCATTTACTTTTAGATTGCACACATTCAACCAAAGAAAAATACAATGGCTTACAGTAAAAGGAAACTGAATAATTAAAAAAAAATGGATTTCATATGCTTACAGTGAAAGGAAACTGAATAATTAAAAAAAAACCAATGGATTTCATATTGTCTGCAGGTAGAACTTCAACATGACAGTTTTCAATAATGCAGTTTTCATAATGCCATCCATTTTTAGTATTTTGACAGTTGTTCTGCAATGATTGACTAGTCCTATGTGTTCGTGTTGGATAGAAAACCCGTGCTGGAGTTTTGAAAGAATGATTCAAATCTGAGGCTGTTTGCTTTGATTTGATAGAGTTAACATAGAAAAAGTTTTTTTTGCATTTTGTATACATTTTACAAAATGTGGTTTTGGCCAGGAAATGTAGGCTACTATTTGGCCAATTGTGATGTAGGCGTGTTACTGTGTTAAGAGTTTAGAAAAAGTAGGCCTACTTCATTGGTTAACGCTTGTTAGCATCTTTTTACTTTCGTCTTTTTGTGCATTTTGCTTCTCTATTTGAATTCTTTTCCTTTCTTCTTCCTCTTTACATCTGTTCTCATTGTCGATTTTCTTCTTCTCTTCTTCTTTCAATCTCTGCATGTTTCTCTCATTTTCTATTTTATCATATTGTTCCTGGAGTGCTCGTTTTTCTGCTTCGCTTTTGTTGCGCTCCTCTGCTATTTTTTTCTCCTCTCTCAATCGCTCTAATTCATTTTCTAGTTTTTGTTTCTTAAGTTCTTCCTCCATAGTCGATTTTTGATTTTCAGCTGCTTCAGCTCTTTTACGTTCCCTTTCTTCACCAGATTCCTCAGGTTTAGCAGATTCCACAGATTTACCACCTCCCATTTTCAAAGTTTTGAAGATTGGAATCTGTTGAGAGAGAGAGAAAAAATATTAATTAATTATATATATTTTTCTAATTCTATTCAAGAGTTAGAAATCTACAAAATAAATTCATCACAAATATCCTGTTAATATGCTACGTGGTGTAAAATAATACTATGATGAAAATTCAATAATTATGAAATTTGTTCAAGATTCGAAGAAACTTTAAAACTTTTGCTTTAAAAAACTTTCAGTCTTTATCTTGCACTGCAGGGGTACATTTTATTGTTGTCAATAGAATTGTTATACGTCAACACAAGAAACAAAACTGCATTTAAGACGTTTAATTTGTGGACATTTAACTGTCCTTTCTAGTAAAAGTGAGCATATAGACTAATCTTAAATTGTCTCTGCAGCAATTTTTTTTGCATTGCAAAATTATATTTATAAATTATTTTATATATATATATATATATATATATTACACCACTAAGTTTTTCATGTTTTCAGAACAGAGAAAGTCTATAACATAGCATGTTGGCTTCTTTGTACTGTAAATTGCAAATCGTATAATACAATGTATTATAAAAAAAATCTATTTTAGAGCATAAGTTCTAAATGTGAAAAGAAAAACTCTGTAAACAACTTACCAATATTTGTTCAAAATTCTTCAGTTTTTGTGTCTTAGCCCGTCCGGTTCTCAGGTAGAGCTGCTGTGTGTAAATACTAGTATACTAGAGTACTACACTTATATAGAGGCTGAGGTGGGTGTGGCAATGATGTGATTGGACAGATCTGTCACGGATCAGCCAATGAGACTGCAGTGTTGTGAAGAACATGACAGGTGTGTTATTTTAACATTACAAACATGATGAACAAGAGAATCTATTTAGTCTTTATTTAGGTCTGTTAATAAAAAAAGTATTTTCTAAAAATTGCCTCAGGCTTTTTAAACTTGTACACTCTAAAAAATAAAACATTGGGTCAACAAAAAAAATTTGTTAACCGTTTCCACTAGAATTTCTAAGTTAAGACTGCTGGCAGAATTACATTAATTCAAAGCAATGTTTTGAGTATGGTGAATTACCATTTAGGCCACAATAAAACACATTTTTAAGTAACATGAACTTAAAACATTATGTTGAATCAGCTTAATTACTTGCATTCATGTTGAAAATTATTAAGTTCATGTTACTTAAAAATTGGTTTTATTGTGGCCAAAAATATTCTTCACCTTACTTAAAACATTATGTTGAATCAACTTGCTTGCATTCATGTTGAATCCATGCCAATCCATATTTGATGTTTCGGTCTCACTCCATGCTTCTTTACACTGACCACGTCTCAACTTGAACCCCTTGGTCACCAGGACACCAGGATACCAGGAGAAGATGAAGGCAAGTTGTTTGTCCTTGCAAGGCCCACGGCAAAGTGACTGAAGAAGACCTAAGTAGGGAGATAAATTAAGTAAAATGATTCAAGGGGGTGTGTATGGAAGCTTATGTGTAGCAATATTCAATTTGATATGTAGTATTCAAAATGACAATGCAATATGTAAAATGGCATTGCATTTTGTATTTAAATTTACCTTTTACATTACCATTCTAGCAACGTTTGGTGCAAAATGAAAATGAAAGTACATAATTTACATTTGCCATTTCATACACTAGTTTTAAAATGCATAATTGAAAAGCTTTATAAGTGGCAAAATTAAAATGCATTACAGAAATGATTAGATATGTGTAACATGTTCAAGCAAAAACTGTGGCAAAATGATCGTTCGAATGTTATTTTTCTTAATTGCATTTACACTCACAGTCAAGACACTTGCCATTGCACTTTCATGAAATGTCCCGCAATGGATGTAGCAAAACTCATGTGCATATTGAAAACGCATTCCGAGCCGATCACGCTCCCTCCTGGCCTATCAATCACTGCATCAAGGCGGGGCTCGAAAACAACAGGTAAACATAACATCTTATGGCTATGTTACGTGTTTTGAGCTGTTGAAAAAATGCTGTGCCAGAGCTAATACGAGTGTTAAAACATTTAGCAGATAAAGTGGAGCGTGAACAGAGAAAAGGTAGTATTCCCGAAGATTATTCATACACTATTTTTTACAGCATTTTTTTAACAGCTCAAAACACGTAACATAGCATCAAAAGCGCGGCCTCCCATTGTTCCTACTAATATGGGCAATTAAATTGAAAGGGCTCAGCTGTCCTTACCTACTCTATGGGGAGGCTCACATTCACCCAATTTGAAAACCCCTGATTTAGACTAAAAGATTGTCTTTCTTGCAGCCTGATGTTAAAGGAGCTGTATGTGAGAAATTTATTTCAAATAATCATAAAATGGCCCTGATATGTCACTAGACATCAAGAAATCATGTTCATTTCAAATACTTATTTGAAGACTGGAAAAAGGTTGCCTGGTCTGATGAGTCTCGATTTCTGTTGAGACATTCAGATGGTAGAGTTATAATTTGTCATGAATGAGAACATGAATCCATCATGGCTTGTTACCACTGTGCAGGCTGGTGGTGGAGGTGTAATGGTGTGGGGGATGTTTTCTCGGCACACTTTAGGCCCCTTAGTGCCAATTGGGAATCGTTTAAATACCACAAACTACCTGAGCATTGTTTCTGACCATGTCCATCCCTTTATGGCCACCATGTACCCATCCTCTGATGGCTACTTCCAGCAGGATAATGCACCATGTCACAAAGCTCGAATCATTTCATATTGGTTTCTTGACCATGACAGTGAGTTCACTGTACTAAAATGGCCCCCACAGTCACCAGATCTCAACCCAATAGAGCATGGTGGAACGCAACGCATTTTCACCCCAAGGCGTCACCTTTGACCATGCTTCAATATTTGATGCTTTACACTTACATGACGCGATCCTACGGCGTCATCTAACTGACGCTAAAGGAAAGCGTCAGTTAGAGGACGCGGTTAGGTTTAGGTATGGGGTGGGGGTAGGGTACACGCGATCCTAGGGCGTCATCTTACTAACGCTAAAGGGCGCCTAAAGCGTCAGATATTGAAGCATGGTCAAATGCTTCCCAAGGCGTCAGTTAGGTGACGCCTTGGGGGTGAGAATGGGCTGTGGAACGGGATGTAGCATCAACTGCAAGATGCTATCCTAACAATATGGGCCAACATTTCTAAAGAATGCTTTCAGCACCTTGTTGAATCAATGCCATGTAGAATTAAGGCAGTTCTGAAGGCGAAAGGCAAACACAGTATTGTTCCTAATTGTTGAGGTGAGTGTACAAATACCGGTACCAATAATGTGGAAAACCTTTAGAGTAATGGTGACAAGTTACAAGACAAGAGCTAAAATATCTTACATTGATATTTTAAACTAGCTTGATGTTGATTGAAAAATGTCCACAATTACACAAACTGAAAAAGCATAAAAATACATTCGAATAATGAAATTAGCCTATCATGTCATTGGCAGGGTATTGAAGTTTGTTTACGAGTTTGATTGAATGAAGCATTCAGGAGATGTACTCTGGTGTATTGGTCAAGTGAATTGTGTATTCAAGACTCATTCCCCCTCTGTGTGGTCTGAGTTTGTGGGGCGAAGGTTGATTCACTGCCAAACACTAATCTATGTCGTCAGGACTCTAAACACACATAATGAGATTCACCTCCCATTTAATGAGGCTGATAATCACTGTTTGACAACCACCTCACTAATTGTCAGCAGATGTGTGTGTATTTGTAAAGCTGTATTGTGGTGGTAATTAAGACTAATGTTAACTAAAGAGACAGACAAGCTTTATCTAGCCCTTGTCTAACACAAACACACACATATAAAAACCACTCACTTGATTGATTTGAAAAAGGTTGTGGTGGAATGTTTCTCTTCAGTTATTTGTTTTATAATGACAATACCAGCTTCTCATGTTTGGCCGAATCAGATTTCAGAATAAGTCTACTAAATTACACTTATTTGGTTGAGACAAATTTTTGCTTTCAAGTAATGTAACCCATTCACTTAAATGTGTTTCATGATTATTTTGATTTGCTGTTTGTGACATTATTTTCATGACATTTCATGAAAACAAAGCTATGATGAATAGCCTACTCTTCCAGGCTTTGCAATGACATCCAGTTATTGTAGGTCACATGTAATTTTCAAAACTCTCACTACTTTTACAAATATTTTATGCCCCTGGTTTTATAGACAAGGCTTGAGACTAGTCCCAGACAAAAGGGTGTGTTTTGGCCGTTTTTAAAGGTGCATTGCGCAACATTTCATGTTAAAAATAGCCGTTTTCTAACCCATATGTGACGGGATAAATAATATAGTTGTGAGTTCGTTAAATAAATCCTGCAACAATGGGATTGCACTTCCTATAGGATACGCGGGTGGCGCTATAGGCTACCTTGCGCACGTACGATCTGCAGCAGTGTAAGAGAGAACTGCTGTGGGTGAGTCGGTTTCCTGTAAGCTCCGCACTAAAAGTGAAAAAATGTATAATTTCACCTTAAATAATTTATGATTATTTGATGGATTGTTCATAAGAGACACAGATTGGCTTGTAAGAGTGTTTTCCGTCTGTATTTATGAGTATTTTGATTGTTTTATGTCTGCGATTTCCAACTGCGTCATATTTGCCATGTGCTTTCTAACGAGGTGAATATATCTTGGATAGGTGGAGCTGTGAACCTAATGATTCGCCATTTTCTCTCTCTTAATACTCTGTGTGCAGGTAAATGTTTTATTTTTATAGTGTTTTGTAATTTTACTGTTCTTAAAGTTGTATTTTCTGTGTTGTTGGGAATTATTTTTGATGTTGGGATTATGTTTTATAATGTATGTAATTCATGGATTCACGGAATCTATTAGATGTTATTTTCTGAAACAAAATAGTTGTATAAAAAGGATGATATAAGTGTACTGTGAACAAGAAATGTTCATAAAAATATTGAGTAGAGCAGAGTAAGAGAGAACTGCTGTGGGTGGAGCTGTGAACCTAATGATTCGCCATTTTCTCTCTCTTAATACTCTGTGTGCAGGAAATAAAGCTTTTCATCCGCATTTTGAGTTCCTGTGTTGTTTAAGAGTGGGGCAGATCAGTTACAAGAAACCAAAAGTCACACATACATGCTTAAACAATCGCCTGATTCGCTGAATGAGGCCTTTTCTGATCACTGAGATCGCCTCTATAATCCTGTACAGTAAAATAAATAAGAGGGATTCGGGCTCGAATCTGAGACTGACCGTGACGTCATGCTCGCCTGGCTATGTGCCTATGTCTTGCAGGTAGTGTATTCGCCGCCATTCTCCGTATCAGAGAAGACAACTCGAGCGACACAACTTTAGTCAACTTTCCACAAAAGTAGAAGATGGATTCAAAGGAGCTGTTTAGCCTACACAACCCGGTCTCATCCCAAGACGTCATATAACTGACGTTTTGGGACGTCTTTTGACCATACGTCAATATTCGCCTTTTTAGGGCCCCCTTAAACGTCGGTAGATGAGGTTATGGGATCCTATCTCTACCCCAGACCTAAACCTAACCCTAAACCTAACCCGTCATCTAACTGACGTTAAAGGTAAAGCGTCAGTTGTATGACGGCCCTGGATCGCCATCTACCGACGTTTAAGGGGGCCCTAAAAAGGCGGATATTGACGTATGGTCAAAAGACGTCCCAAGACGTCAGTTATATGACTTTTTGGGATGAGACTGTG